CCTCCAATGATGCAAGAAGTTCCAGGCTGAAAACACTTGGAATAGTGTACGTTAAAACTCGCTGGAACTCATTTTATGTAAAGTTACCTAACCATTTTTACAGCTATAATTTATATTTCGCGTGGCGAGCTCACAACAACTACCTTTCGATATATGATGACAAAACCTTGTCGAAACGTTGTACATTTGCTGTCATGTTAAACTTGTATTAAAGTTTTTCTTCATTACCCATTTAAGCCGTCTCCAGCCAGTCAGGTACCAATAATAGTAACAGTGAATCCCTTAGTGTGGATAGTGGGTGCTGATTGGTTGCTTTCCATTTGATCAGTAGTTTGAAACTAATTAGGGTCATAGATAACCTTAGCAGCTCTGCCATGAATACAGGTATCTTGTAAAACATGCAGAAGTATAATTTACTATTCAACCATGTACAATTGAAATAGTGAATTGATAGTTATAAAAATATGGTTTAAAGTGAAGCTTCAGTATTTCACACAAGTAAACATAACCTTTTCAAGTATTTCACACAAGTAAACATAACCTTTTCAAGTGTTTCACACGAGTAAACATAACCTTTTCAATTGTTTCACACAAGTAAACATAACCTTTTCAAGTGTTTCACACGAGTAAACACAACTTTTTCAATTGTTTCACACAAGTAAACATAACCTTTTCAAGTATTTCACACAAGTAAACATAACCTTTTCAAGTGTTTCACACAAGTAAACATAACCTTTTCAAGTATTTCACACAAGTAAACATAATCTTTTCAAGTATTTCACACAAGTAAACATAACCTTTTCAAGTATTTCACACAAGTAAACATAACCTTTTCATGTGTTTCACACAAGTAAACATAATCTTTTCAAGTATTTCACACAAGTAAACAAAACCTTTTCAAGTGTTTCACACGAGTAAACATAACCTTTTCAAGTGTTTCACACAAGTAAACATAACCTTTTCAAGTATTTCACACGAGTAAACAAAACATTTTCAAGTATTTCACACAAGTAAACATAACCGTAATTCACACAAGTAAACATAACCTTTTCAAGTGTTTCACACAAGTAAACATAACCTTTTCAAGTGTTTCACACAAGTAAACATAACCTTTTCAAGTATTTCACACAAGTAAACATAACCTTGATCAACATTTGTTCATTATCAGATTTAAGTACCTATAGATTGGATGATGTATAACTTGTGTGGTGTGTACATCATTTTAAAGTGTTGTCATCTTTTTGTTGTTTTTCTTTCATTTTCAGAAAACATGTGGTCCTGAAATGTGATTTCTTTTCTTCGATGCCACACCTAAAAGGTAAGTTCACATTCTTTTTAAAAGTCTCAAAACTTCGTGACATTTTACAGTTGTGCTTGGAGGTTTAAAGAGGATTCATGAGGGATATTTATAAATCACTGTGCATGTTTTTACAGGTGTACCGTCTTGTTGTCCCTTTCTTCAATTACTTATGGCCATTTTAATTTGTGGTTGACAGCTGTTTCAACATTTGTTCAATAAATTACTTTGAGTATTAATATGCACACTAGAGAAATTATTCAGGCCAAAAATGTTTCTGTAATTGGCATATTTATGATTTACTGCCCTTGGCTCTGCAAATTTTCCATCTTCCCCTGGATACGTCGTCATCATCAAATCTTCGCTAGCATTTAGAAGAATAAGGCTTCATTTGACTTTGATATGGAGTTTCATTATCTGTTTATCTGTATTGTTTTATATTGTTGTTAGTTTTTTACACACTACATTGTTGTTTTGTTCCTGACATATCACATTGTTGTTTTTAGTTCCTGACATACTACAGCATTGTTGTTCTTTGTTCCTGACATGCTACAGCATTGTTGTTTTTAGTTCCTGACATGCTACAGCATTGTTGTTTTTAGTTCCTGAC